GGAAATAAACATCATTATATATTTTACAAAATACTGTTAAATGGGAAAATGAGAAAAAAAGTTATTTCATGATCATTAAGAACATTATAATGTTTATTGTACAACAGCAATTGTCTTACTTATTTTGTAGTGGAATATTTCAGATTATTTTTTCCAAAGAGGTGAAATAATTGAAAAGGAGCTAAACAAAGAAGAAGCAGTGTTGCAGAAACAGGCAGAAGAAAAGGGAGTGATGTTGAATAGACCTTTTCATCCTGCACCACCATTTGACTGTCTTTGGTTATGCCTGTATGCCAAACTTGGAGAACTGTGTGTGGATCCCCGACCTGCAGTTAGAAAGAGTGCTGGGCAGACTTTGTTTTCTACTATTGGTGCTCATGGAACTTTATTGCAACATTCAACATGGCACACAGTAATATGGAAGGTATGACGTGAGGGGTCTTTAAAATGGCATTTATGTTTTGTTAACATGCTATTTTAATCTCAGTTAACTAGCTTAGTAAGACTTTTTAAAGGCAAGATATGGTAGCAGAAGTCTGATAATGTCTTTTGGTGGTAGATTTTTTTCATGCTTTCTTTTCTCTGGCCCTAAAAGCCTCTTCTTACAAAATGTGATTTTTGTATCTTGACCATTTCAGTCTTACTTCAGAGTTGTATAAAAAGGCTGTTCCCTTCCTATAAAGATGAATGACTGTGCAAAAGTATGGTGACACTTGAGGGTCATGTGATTGGATTGATCTGATTTGTATAGAGCTTTACCACTTTGTGGTCTGTTTTGGCTCTCTCATTTGAGAGGATCTGTCAAATACCTTGTTTTAGATCAGTCATGTTGATTGTGCCTTACAGAAAAAGTCAGGCTGAGGTTGAGTCTGTTGCCTGTTGTACCTGTGTGGTATCTGAGATTCCTTGGTTTTAGCCTTCTGTTAATGCTAACTCAGTGGTTTTGATCATGCTGTTTCTAACCCTTCTCAAGTGAACATCAGTTGGCTGATTCTTACTCTTAGCTGTGGCAGAGACTGTTTAGAATAAGGGAATTCTCAAGGTGGCACTGTGACAGAAAGGATGATGGAAAAAATACTATTTTTTGTGGTTTCGCCATGAATATAACTATGTTATTTGAAAAGTTGTTGTTTTCCTCTTTTTCTGACTATTACAGGTTTTATTTCACCTGTTGGATAGGGTTCGAGAATCTTCCACCACAGCTGACAAAGAGAAGATTGAATCAGGAGGAGGCAACATTCTCATCCATCATTCAAGGGATACAGCTGAGAAACAGTGGGCTGAGACATGGGTATTAACACTGGCTGGAGTTGCAAGAATATTTAACACCAGGAGATACTTACTGCAGCCTTTAGGTAAAATTTACAGATTAAAGTTATTGAAAGATCCAATGACAAGCTTTCCACTTTGCTTTTTTTTCAGTTAAAGTACCAAGCAAGAATCTTAACTGTAGCTTAAAAGTGTTTTCTGTTGTGTCTAACCTCAAATGTGCTGAAAATTACAGTTTTTAATTCATGCTTTTTAAGCCCAAAAATTTTAAGTCCCCAATTAGTCTTCCATATCACAGTACTTGAGATTAAATCTCACTAGTCCCAATTCTGGGTGCTAAATAGCTTTAATTCTAGAAGCCTAATAATAATTTTTCAGTTCCTCTGGTTATCAGAACATATTTTTCTTCGTCTTTCTAAGGTTATACAACACTTGTGTAGAACTTTTCCATAGTATCAGTGTGTCAAGTTTAATAGTGCTCTTACAGTGTAAAGAGAACTGACCTGTACAGTCAGTGAAGTATACACCTTAGAAAGGAAGAAAGGGAATTTTTTAATGGAAAGATTGGATTTTTCAAGATGTGAAAAATGTTGAGAATACCCACAATTCCAAGTGATTCTTTTTGTCCTCTCATACTTTTCCACTGTTTGTCTTATACAGAGATGTCAGTTTGAATTACTTTACTGTAGTCCCTAATGCAGCTAACTGAAGTGAGTTTCACTTTTCTTCTTCCTTAAAATCTTACTTTTCCCATTTTAATGTTTTGTTTTTCTTCTGTAATGTCTTGGAATCTTTATTTATTAGAAAAATTAAGATTACTGTTAAATTTAATTTAAAAAAATCAAACTCCAAAAATGCAATCTTTCTCTACAGTAAAATCATCAGAGCATTTTAAAAGCAATTCTTCATAAATGCGCATATTGATTATACATACAAATTCAGCCTTTAGAGTATAGATTTGACCCTTAATTCCTTGTATGTGTTTGACACTTCTTGAAATCAACAGGCATCTGGTATGTATAAGAACAGATCTGTTTCCCTATCCTGAATAAAGAAAACATTTTTCTGGTATAGGATATGATTTTTCACTAGCAAATTCGATAAAAACATTTGATGTATTGTTTCATTCTTCATATTTGTGTGTTTCTGTATCACATTCATTCTTTCTGGTTATGGTTGAACTGATACATTGTGAAAGTCATTCAGGCCATCACCTAACCTCATGAAATTTCTTCGTATTAGAGTATCAAGTACAGCCTTTCAGAGACAGGGTGGGTGGGAATGCAAATAGGAAGCCATTTCCAAGATAATTTTTCTCTCTTTTTTTTCTTTTTAAATAGGAGACTTTTCCCAAGCCTGGGATGTTCTTCTTGATCACATCCAATCAGCAGCACTCAGCAAAAATAATGAAGTTTCCTTGGCTGCTCTGAAAAGCTTCCAGGAGATCTTGCAAATTGTTTCCCCTGTCCGAGACTCGGAGAAACCTGACACACCACCTGCTATCAATGTTTCTGTACCTGTGGTGGTAGGGACAACGACTGCCACTAGTCTTGGCAGATCATTCATGCGAACTGACTCCATAGGAGAAAGACTAGGAAGATACAGTGGATCTGAACCACCTGTAGTAACAGATGAGATTGAAGATTTGAATCTTTGGTGGGCAGCCTGGAACAGCTGGTATAGGATTGGTTCAGAAAGTACAAGGCCTCCAGTTACTTGTGATAAACTGACTTTCATTCCCAGCCAGCCATTTCTTACAGCTTTAATTCAAATATTCCCAGCTCTTTACCAACACATCAAAACTGGCTTCAGCATGGATGATCTCCAAAAGCTGGGTGTCATTTTGCACGGTGCTGTTTCAGTTCCAATCAGTTCTGATGCTTCCCCTTTCATCCTTCCATCGTACACTGAAGCAGTTTTGACAAGTTTACAGGAAGCAGTTCTTACAGCTTTAGATGTTTTACAAAAGGTAATAATATGACTTCAAATGCGTGGTGAAAGGTAAACTACACCATGTCTTGTTCATCTTAGAACTATAATGTGCTGGTTTAAATATGAGATTTTAAGATTTTAAATTACTTATAATTGCACAGTGAACTCTATTGTAACAATCAGATTTCCATTCCTGGTGCAAACCAGGTGCTCTGCATTGAAAGGAATGGTGTAATCTTTATGAAATGTATTTTCTCTTGATTGCAGAAGTACCTTAAGTGGTGTGCTGTGCTTGTAGCCATTTACTTGTCTTTCTAATATTACAGTATTGTACTATTTACGAGGATCTGTACTCAGTTGGAGAAATAGTCTCTCAAACAGTATTCCTTATGTTGCCCAGCTACTGTCATAAACAAAGTCTAGAATAATAATGAGAATGAGAACTTTCAAGTTCATGCAAAACATAAAATATAAAAGGTCTCTGGCAGACCACCTACCTTCTTGCCTCTTGTTAATAAGTTGTTTAAGGAAAATACTGTGTCTCTGCTTAAGAAATTCTTATTATACAATTCATCCTCAAAGAGCTCCCTTCATGCAGGTACATCTGTAAGTAACAAATTAGGGTGTCCTTTTTCTATACAGTTAAAAAAAAAAAAGGAAGAAAGTTAGTGCTTCTCACTTTCTCAAGTTGTAAAACATCTCCCTGCAAAATATATTTTTCTTTCAGAAAACTTGCTTATTCAAAAGAAGCAAAGGTAATAATGAATGAGGTCATGCATTTATATTAAGCACTGCTTTAAAAAAAAACAGATCCCCCAGTTCCCCAAAAAACTATTGGGAAATGCTGGAATTGAAACTGTCCGTGTAACCTGACTTCATTCCTTTTGGGCTTTCATTTTACAACAGGTTTGCTTAACTTACGTGGTCATACTATTATTTTTTTTTTTTTCCTTCCTCCTCTCAGACAGGATCCTGCCTTATTTAGTTCATAGAACACATGGTGTCCACTTAGCAGCAAATCAGCATCTCGTTTTCTTTTTTCTTATTGTGGGTTGACTTATCTCATACTTATTTATACCCCACAAGCAAAACAGAACCATTATCTTGCTCTCATTCCTTTAGTTTATGACATAAAACAATATTCATGAATGTACTTTGAGAACAGAGGTATAAGATTAGAAGTTGTTATTAAATCTTGGGTTTGTATGTGAGAATATAACTAACATGAAGTTTTAACACCAGTCATATCCACTAAATTTTCATCCTTTTCTGGTCAGGCTTGACCTTTCTGTATCCTTCCTTTTGCAACAGCTCAGCCATTCCCAAGTGCTCCACTTAAGTTTCTCCACTTAATCACTCCGTATGTTCATTATTCAGATTTTTCTGTTTCTTTGCCAGTCTCCTTATCCAGATGTTCTTAGCTACCAAAGGCTGCAGGCATTAATGCTTCTCAAAGAAGTGGTCACCAGAGATTCTAACATGAGGAAAAGCTGCACATATTTTTTTACTCTTGTTCTTGTGAAGACGTTAAATTGTTTTAACTGAAGTTTTCTTAAACAGTAACAAAAGCAGTAACTCTCCATGAGAGGGACATCCTTCCCCTCTCCCAGTGGAAATGGTTAGCATGGCAGTTCAAACCTTTCCAAGTACAAACTTACACAGAATGCCTTAGGTACCTCAGTTTATACAGTGCCTCCTACCCCATCTATTGTTGTTATATTGCTAACAGAACAGCAATGAAGTCACTAAAAAAATAAGTTTATTTGGACATAGTAAGTTCTGTGAGGTCACATGAGAGCTCCTTACATGATAAGGCAGCTGGTGAGTGCTGATGTGGAGCAAGGGTCATCCATCCTTCAGATGGTTTTGCTGGAGGCCACAGTATCTTCTTTCTCTGTTCAAATCTATCAGTACTCCCAGGATGACACACACAAGCTAGTGGAGCAGTTAAAGAAGAGTATGTAAATACTTGCCACCTTTTAAACAAAATTTTTCTTATATGTTTGCATTGTAGGATCAGATTAAGTTTTGTTATTTGCTGATACAGGAAGATTTGGTCAGTTCTTATTTTCTAAGAAGTTCTGGAACAACCTTGTAATTGGAATAGCATGAAAAAACCCTGACATTTTTAAGACTGAGCACCTGACTGAATTAATAAAGACAGTTTACAATGTGATTGCACTGGCGAAGGACATTGCAACTCAAGAACATAGGACTGGAAGGGATCCTTGGTTCTCCTTTCAGACCTCTGTGTCTTGAGTCCATTTTACACCCTTTGTTTTGGTCTTAGTTTTCATTTCCCATTAGAACCTGTTTTCTGGTCTTTCACTGCTGTAGTGTAGGTGCCTGCTTCATCACTGTAGCTCAGCTAAAGTTTGTACTCAAGCCCAGACTCTCTGATTATTTTCACTGCCTCCCTTCACTGTGACTCTAGGTCAATTCTGCAGTGAGGCAGCTGGCTCAGCTGACTGAGGGACACTGATACAGACGTGGGCATCAGATACGTTAGAATTCTGCATCTGCAGGCCTTATAGCTGCAAATGTCTTGAGCTATGAGTAGGGTAAACTTAAGGATGTATTTACATACTCTGGCCGAGATGGTAAAGAATTAGTTACAGAGAGCTGTAAAAAAAACAAGAACAAAACCCAAACAGTAGTCCATGACAGTAGTTGCGCTAGGAGTTGTTGGATAAATCTGAAATATTACCAAATGTGAAGGTTAGTACCAGAGTGCTTTAAAGCACACATTTCTGTAACTAAAGTACTGTGTCACTTTTCACAACAAACAACTATCTGCAAAGTATTTTATTTTAGGGTTTATATTTTGTTGTTGCCTGATCATTACTTTTTGATTTATACACGTCTCTTTACTTAAGTGTATAAATAGGCACACTTAGTGCAGTAAATACTACTCTGTTTTATAAGCAGGTCTTAAATACACTTTCAACATCCTTCTATAACCTTCAACACTTTAAGGTATTTCTGAGGTTTTCATACTCTTAAATAAAAGTTACCTGGTGTCAGTCAGAAGCATAAACCTCTTTGAAAAACAATTCTAGTTAGATGAATTTTCAAAGCTAAATGATGTAATCCTGCCCTTTTTTATATTATATGACTAATTTTTAGAGTTGAAGATACCCCAGTAGACTGGTTAGAAAACACTTCTATTTATAAAATAAAAATCTTACATGTTCTTCATAAATATGAAGAATAAGAAGCTACTCATGCACAAACTTCAAATAAGCAGTAGTTATTTTTTTTGTTCACCAGTACAGAAAAACTGGCATCTGAAATGATTTTCCACTGATCCTGAAACTAATAACAACAGTAATAATACTTTAAAAAACTTAACAATGTGGGGTGGTATTTTGAAGTTCTGCCATTATAGATGTTAAGATAGTCTTCTGTGGGTAACGTGAGTTGCATTTGTTACCCAGATGTTTGTGAATGCTCTTTTTGTAATCTTGCATTAACCTGTTAAAATTTAATTGCAGTGACTTTAGTGCAGCAGCGTATCAGCTCAAATTGTTTTACATGGCAATGAATACTTTTTATCAGCAATTGATCTTTAGTCTTCTGTCATACAGGTATATAATAAAAATGTCTTTTTCAGAGTTCAGTACAGTCTTGAACTTGAGCACCAGAAGAGGGGTATGGCTTTTTAGAAGGGGTGCTTCACTGTATTAAAAATTTTGATTAAGTTTTTGAGTATTAGACATGCATTTTGTATTGCAGGAAGCTAAGGAAAAGGGAAGGGCCATTGATGATACATGGAGTGCCGTGCTGCAGGTCACAGATTGCTTGAAGGTGCAGCTAGGTCTTAGGAGTGATGACACTGCTTTTAGCCCTGTTGGCTTGCTCCCTTTTGTGACTGGTAACTCAGGATACTTGCAAGCCCATAAACTGCCACCGCTCATGACAGAGCTTCAGCATGGAGGCTGCACTCAGACAGCTTTGGGACTGTTGACACCTTGAGTGAGTTCAGCCATGGATGATGTGTGCTTAATGAAAAGGGGATTTGATTCCTCCCCAGAGGAAAATGACAGGACAAGCACAAGGTGTTTTTGTGGAGCAGTAAATAGGCTGTTTTTTTAAGAGGAGAGACTTTAGGGGGAAAAGCTAGACATTTAAAATGACAGAAAAATAATTGGGATAACTTAGAATACAATAATTTTATTTGGCTTTGAAAATAAATGCCATAAGATTGCCTTAGGATTTATATTGCAACAGGAAATCATTATCCTGTGACAATATAATATTTCATTGACATCTTCTAAGTACACCCTTTCTAAAACATTTTCAGTTTTAAAGCAAGATTATGAGTATCAGCTCGTCCAAAAGAATATAATTCTCATTTTATTTATATTGCTTTCTGTAAGGCACAACTTTAACTACTTAAAAAATTCTTGTATTAATTACTTCTGAGATTTAAATGTTCCTTGAAATAGAACATAAAGAAGATGTGGCAGAGATCAACAGACAGGATTTGTGTAAGACTTACAGTTTGCTGTCATGTCAAAGCAGGGTTTGTAAAGAAAATGTATCTTTTATTGGATTAAATGTATTTACTGAACTCTGTATGCCTGATATCTTGCCACTTAATCCACTTGAATAAAATAACAAAATTTAATCTCCTTAAACTGTTGGAACTACACACTGTCTTTTATCCAGCATGACTTGCATAGCCTTACATGGGAATTTTTCTTTAGGAGTTCCTTGTACTAGTGCACATTTTTGAATATGAAAACTCAAGATAATATATTAAGCTTTTGTATTATTTTTTTGTATAGGCTATATGTGTGGGCTCAGAAAGTATGCAGATAATGTATCCTGCAATCTTCGACCAGCTGCTGGCCTTTGTAGAATTTTCCTGCAAGCCTCCACAGTATGGGCAGCTGGAAACAAAGCACATTGCGAATGCAAAGTATAATCAGGTAATTAATGACAAATCTTGCTTGTTTCACTTGGCTGGTGACCCCAATTCAGCTTCAGATATAGATGTTTAGCAAGATGCGTTTATTCCATCTGTAAAAACTTTGCTGTGCATGTTGAGTAATAATTTCTTAGTATTTTTTTACATGCTTTTTTAATCTTTGTTTGCTTCCTTTGAATTCTACTTTGCTTTCACACTCTGTATTCTTCTGTGTAGAAAAGGTCTCGTCTGGACGCCAGACATAGTGAATGTGTCTAAATTTTTCCAGTGAATTAATCTAAAATAACTTGTCCTACATGTGATACCAAATTTCATAGAAAGACACAATAATTCAGAATGAAGAAAATTCCCTCAAGCTGCAAATTTTTGAGTTGCACGTGCTGTAGAGAAATGGGACATACTCAGTAGTTCTTTTTTATCTGTGTACTCTGCTGTTCACTAAGCATGAGCATCTGATTCACTGTAATCAAAGAGGTAACTATTATATATGTATTAATTCTTCTTATTCTGTTTGTCCTGCAACACAATGGAATCACACTAGATACAACTATTTGCACCGGTGAGTTAATTTCCTTCAAGATTGTCCTAACGTAGTTGTCTTGCCTAGACTGCAACATTTCTCCTACTTAAATGTACTTTACTTCAATGTAGAGTACATTTTCATAGTCAGACTACGTTGTATTTGCAGTTTTGCTGCTTGGACCATATTCTTAGCAAACCTTGCATGCATTAAACAGAGTTCAATGCAAAACATACATTTGCTGCTCCTAATTAATATGTTTTCCCATGTAGTTCAGTAATTTCAGTGATTTCTTTTCCTAGGCGGAATGGGTAGCATTGAATTATGTACCATTTGCTGAGAGATCATTGGAAGTTGTTGTGGACTTGTACCAAAAGACAGCTTGCCATAAAGCTGTGGTAACAGAGAAGGTTCTTCAGAACATTATTAAGGTAAAAGTCTGTCCTGTATCTGCTCTGAATTCAGTGAGCTTCTATTGGAAATAATGAGTCTTTCTATCTAAAAGACTTAAAATTTGCTGTGTTTTTATCTGCTGTTCATTTGGGTTGTATTGCAGCCTTTATCTTAGAATTTCACTAATTCTTTTTGCTTTTAAACTTTGTCATTTATGGATACACTTTGACTTCTGCATATTAGTAAGAATGTGAATTTAATGATGTTTTTCTTCTTTACTGCATAAGCACTTGGAATAGCTTTCTAGGTATGGGACTAAACTCTCCAGAATACACACATGATGATAAGCTGCTTGCAATGGTAGATGTTGGGACAGCCCTTTTGTCAGGCTTAGCAGAAATCGTGGATGGCAATACAGAGGAAGAAAATTTGTATGTAATTTCATAGTGTAATTGGTAGGGGATCAGGTCTGTCTTCTAACCCTGTACTCAGCAACAGACTTTTGCTTTAGTCAGCTGGTATATGGTGAATCATCTTTATATTTTTAAAAGAGCTTCTCATATACCAGCAGAAAATGTAAGGGATGTGTCCTGTTATCTGTGATAATATCTGCCAAGATCATCTGCTGAAACCAATCATATTCTTAGAGTTGTCTGAGCAACTATGAATTTTGTTTTAACTGTCATTTTGCAGACACTAAGAATACCTCTTAGTCTGAAATATTCCTGTCCTTCTGAAAGCACATGGAAGCTAGCTGTATCCTCTCTTCTTAAAGTTCTCTCTATTGGACTACCAGTTGCAAGGCAACATGCATCTTCTGGAAAATTTGACAGTATGTGGCCAGAGCTAGCAAATACCTTTGAAGACTTTTTATTCACCAAAAGGTAAACATATTTTTTATTATTTAAAAAAAAAACCAACAAAAAACAACCAGTAACCAACCACCTAGAATGTATTTGTAAGTTCAGTAAAAGTATCCTTATCTTTAGAGATATTTGATATTTGAAATCTTTAATGGATGAAGGAAAAAAGGTAATCAGTCTGTCTACTTCAGAAAAGTATACATTTATTAAGTAGTAGAAAAAAACTTCATCCAAAAAGGCAAGAAAGAGCTCAACTGGCATCAGAATACAAGGTATAGCCTTTCTGACCAGGCCAAGGAATTCCAAGGACATTTACTTTAGATTTGATGAAGAGTTCCTGATGTGTACTCAACTTGTTCTTTTTTCTTTTAATTGGAACAGAATTGCAACAATTTTTTTGTTTTGTTTTTTAAGGTGAAAACCATTAACTATCTGTATTTCTTTCAAGTTCTATCTTGAAATATTCCACTTGCTATGGATTTTGGAAAGTTCCTTCTTACATTGCTGTTCACTTAGAAGCCCATGGTTACCTTGCATTTGTTTCTACCCAAGATAAATTGACTGCACTGTAATAATTAACCATGCTTTATTTATAATGTTATACTATAATACTAATTATAATAATAATAAAAGTGTAGCTAAATAGTCAGATTGGTAACTAGACAGACAGGCAGGTGTATAAGTACATCTATAATCTCTTAATAATGGAACACTGTGCAAAATAACTATCAGAGACCTGGTCTATTGATTCATTCAGCCAAAATAATACATCAGTAGGGGGACATGGCAAGAGTTCAGAACACAGTAAAAGATTTCTCTAGAGAAGAATTTTTACTGTCCCTTGAGGTGGGTAAATAAAGATTTCAGTACAGCAAAGATGATCTAGGTTAGGCATAAAGCAAATCTTGTGCTGTAAGGAAGGTCAGATATTGCAGAAGATGGCTGCGAAGCAGTACAGCATTGCCACCTTCTGTGAAGGTGTGTGGGTAAACATATCTTAGTAGTAATTAGAAGTTTAAGTCTGTCTAATATTGTCTCAGATTGAAAGAGAATGTGCAATATGAAAAATCTTACTTTCTGTGTGTATCCTGATTTCAGTAGCAAAGTAGTTTGTTTTTTTTTTTTATAGGTAACAGTACGGTTCTTCTGTACCTAACACTAATATGCTGTATTTTGTGTGTATGGTTTTCAAACACAAAGATCAGCAACCAAATACAGCTGTATTTACTAATGATTAATAAATAGCAGCTTGCCCAAAATTGACAAAATAAATACCAATAAATAGCCACTAGTGAAAATGTTTGTCTAAAGAATGCATTTGGAATTCCATCAATAGGCTTACATGACAATTGAATGAAAATACTTAATTTTGGTTTTGCATTTACTTCAAAGAAATATTATTAAATAGGAAGTCCTGAAAATAAAAAGCTCGTCAAGACTACATCAAAGACACTTTAATAATCCAATTTTTTCTTTTGATGCTTCATTGTTTCTTTAATTTAAAATAATCTTTGCAGTGCCTTGTTTGGTTTTGTTTTCAGATGCAGTTAGTAGTCCTGCTTCCATTCTGAGACAGACAGCCCAGATCACCTCACACCCTATCAATATCATTGTTGGGTTTAGAAAATTAAAATGAAGATTTTTTTTTTTCAGGTTACTGTAGAAGAATGTATGTTCACATAGAAGTTACTTTGGGAATACATAGTACTATTTGCTGTAAATTAATTATTCCTAAATATCTACAAACAGATTGAACATATCAATATTGCATGTTATTAGCTGACCCAAACTGACACAGCTACAGTTTTTGGGTATTAATCATCCCTAAATCCAGGGAACAAACATTATCACAGATCTTCAGTGTAATTCAAGATAATCCACTATCATCTGCATGACCTTTTGGGGCAAAATATGTTGCCTTTTTTTCTTAAGTTACAGTGAATGATTTATACTTTTCTTGAAAGTTGTTCCAACCGTAGAAATTTCATCCTAACATCTTGCTTTCTGGGAACAATCACTGTTGACACTCATTTTAATAACTTCTGCCAGCTGTCATACATGGGAAAACATTCTCTGGAAGTAAAGGAAAAATAGTACTTCTGTGAATATTTATGATGCCCTAAAACTTAAGTCTGGTTTTGCCTGTTCAGAGACCAGAGTGTATTCTGTATTTTTACATGCAAAATATGTTTCAGAGGTCAGCATTTTCATCAGAAGTAAAGATGTTCTCAGAAAGTGAAATGAAACTTTTTGTTTTCTCTCACTTACAAGCTTTAAGGTTCAAATTTTTTTTAAAAAAAATGGGTTGGTGGCTTATAGAACCATATGGCTACAGAAGGATAATTTGGCCTGTTATTGTAATTAATAGCCATTATTACTCCTCTTCCCAGCTTGTTATGATGAGATGATTTTTGCTTATATAGCTGTACATTGTATGGCTATTGAATGTCTGGTTTGGGATTGGCTTTGGGGTGTTTTTTTTTTTCCCTCCTAATGTCCATCTTTTTCTAAATAGCAGTTTGTCTTCCTGAGTGTGTGCTTCTTGTATTACTGTTAGAGTCCTATCTTCTAGGATATCCTTTAGGATAGACAGCCCTTCTGTTCCCTCTATCAGCCTGATCCTCATGGTCCTAAAAAAACTTAAAGCTAAGAAGGGAGTACATTTGCCTCATGCCAGTAGTCAGGACAAGGAGCAGTCATTTCTTCTCTTCATCCTCTTCCTCCTCCCTACAATGCTCCTGAAGTGTGCCTCTCTTGCTGTGATGCAAAGGAGGGCTCTAGAGATAGCTGTGGAATTCTCCATGTTGAGGTAATTTTCTTCTGATTTTCTTTGGTTAAGTCCTTCTGCACTTCTGTGCAAGGTGCTGTGAAACTAGCCTTGGAAAATAGGGCAACCTGTCCCTTTTGTGTTAGAATTTTCTAAACTGTGTCTTTTAGTGGATTGTAATTGCAGTATAGTCAGTCTTTTACATTAGCAGTTGTTCCATTTTAAAGGAAATTGAATTAAGAATTTTCATACCTGTGTTCTTTCAATTTTATTTTTCTTTGTCATAGTTCTAATAGAAAATATGTTAGCCATAGCAGTTTTTTGAAAGCAACAGCTAAAATTTATCATTAACTGAGATGCATGTCAACCTTCAGATTTATGGGAGAAAGCAGTGGGAATGTCTGGTCCTTTTCAACTGTCCATATTCTTTATTTTAAGCCAGCTAGGTGGTACAAAAGCATTTTTTCAGTGTGTTCCCTGATTTTATTTTATATATAGATATATTTTAAAATTATAAATATATAAAAATATAAATAAATATGAGTGAGACACAGTAACAGTATTAGTGCTTTATCTCTTTTGTTACCATTATCCAACATGTCACTCCTTGTGAGAGGAATTAGATATATTTAGTTAAATATATTTAGATATATTATATATATTAGATGTATTATATATAATATTTAGTTAAACCTAACTACAGTTGTAACTTAACATTTACTTTCTTATCCTGAATTCTGTAATTTTTCCTCAGCGTTCTGCTTCAAGGAAAGTGATGTGTTTTGTCACAAAGAAACTTTTCTTCCTTCACTCCTATAGACCTTTTCACACTTCCCACTATTTAGTGTTCTACATGTTCCATGCTATTTTCTGTCCAGGCTTCATGCAAAGCTAGGTAAATAACTTCCTCATGTACCTGTTCTTCAAACCCTTATTCTTCAAAGCTGACTTAGCACTTCTTGGATGGTTTTAAATATTAAATATTTTCATCTCTGTAAAACTTGGAAATGTCTTAACTGCAGTCAGTCCTCCTAGTAAGACTATGTAACAGATTTGGGTAGTTTTTGGTCATCCCTCTGTATAAGAATCAAGCAAAGGAGGCAGAAGATCTGCATGGATGAGAAAGGAGCTTCAGGAAAAGCTCTTAAGAAGGTTTACAGAATGTGGAAAAAGGGACTGGCCACTTTGGAGGAATATGTCAGAGTATGCAGGGATGCAGTAAGGCCTAAGGCCCACTTGGAATTAAATCCAGCAAGGGATGTCAAAGACAAAAAGAGTTTGGAAATCATGGTTGACCCATCTGTAGCCTTCTGTGATGGCATGACTGGCTGGGTAGATGAGGGAATAGCAGTGGATGTTTTCTACCTTGACTTCAGCAAGTCTTTTGACACTGTTTCTTGTAACATCCTCATAAGTAAGCTTAGGAAGCTTAGGGTTAGGTAAATGGACAGAGAGGTGGACTGAGAACTGACTGAGTGGCAGAGCTGAGAGGGTTGTGACCAGCAGCACAGAATGTAATTGGAGGCCTACAGCTAGCAGAGTTCCCCAGAGATATTCATCAATCACCTGGATGAGAGGACAGAGTGTACCCTCAGCAAGTTTGAGGGAGGTCATCTTTCCCTTCTACTCTGACCTAGTGAGGCCACATCTGGAATACTGTGCCCAGTTCTGGGCTCCCCAGTACAGGAAAGACAAGGAGCTACTGGGAAGAGTCCAGCGAAGGGCTACAAAGATGATTAGTGGACTCGAGCATCTCTTTTATGAGGAAGGGCTCAGAGACCTGGGTCAGTTCAGCCTGGAGAGAAGAAGGATGAGAGGGAATCTTATCCATGCTTATTCCTGTCTAAAGGGCAAGTGTCAACAGGATGGGGCCAGATTCTTTTCAGTGGTGTGCAGCAACAGGACAAGGGGCAACAGGCACAAACTTGAACATAGGAAGTTCCATCTGAACACGAGGAAAAACTTTCTAATTTTGAGGGTGAAAGAGCACTGGAACAGGCTTCCACCAGAGGTTGTAGAATCTCTTTCTCTGGAGATTTTCAAAACCTGCCTGGATGTGATCCTGTGCAACCTACTTTAGGTGACCCTGCTTTAGCAGGGGGGGTTGGACTAGGTGACCTCTAGAAGTCCCTTCCAACCCCTGCCCTTCTTTTGGTTCCCTTTAGCTGTGTTCATTAAAATATCCCAGTGCATATTGTCTCATTTTTATACACATTTCCAAGACTCCACCTAGCTGAGGATAGAGTAGAGAGATAAAACTGTTTTGCTGAGGTTCTGCATATTTTATCAGCATTTTAAACATTTCTCTAATCAATCTCACTGTGGTCCTAGAAATCGCATATGTAGGTAGCTTAATAACTGCTTTCACCGGTGCAACTGAGTTGGCATTGGTTAGGTAAGAGGTCACTGTGGTTAGAACCCTTAAATGAAAGCTCTGTGAATGTCTGTGTTGAAAGTAGTGAGCCTCCTGTGCATGGTCTTGCCTGTCTTTTGCAAAGCAATAGACTTTCAAGCCAGCTATGGGACCGAATGATAGAAGATACTGATGTTCAACAAGTAAAAGGCATAGCAGAAATGGTCTCTACAACTTGGTACATGAAGAAATTTAAAATATAGCCAAAAGAACCCAGATAAATGAAAAAGAAAAATGTTACTGTCATAGAGAATTAACAGCTTCCAAGCAATAGGCTTCACCCTTGTTTTTTAAAAGCAAGCTACAGCTGTGGAGGCTCAATAATCTTGACTGTTATTATAAATCAAAATGGCATTTAAAAATTAATAAAATTCATGTAACTTAATTTACACAAAATTGTCTTCTAGTAAGAGCCTGGTCTGTTTATTATTTCATAACATTCTTCTTTCCCAGAGGCTTTCATGGGAGCATGTCAAGCCATTATATAAAACAAAATTCAACAAACGTGTGTGTATATATAATTTACTAGAGCAGAAGTCTGTGCTCACATGAGGGAATTAAATCACAACTCTCCAAAAAGATGCTTCAGAGGAGAGTGGTGCTGTGCACAGCAGGACTCTGGATGGCTGTTAGCTCTTTGTTGTTGTGCTCTAAAGCCCTCCCTAGACAGTGGGCAGCAGCTGAGAGCCCTGCACCTAGGAAATCCTGCACATAGCAACAGTCTGCATCCTGCTGCCTCTTGCCCTGCCCTGTCTCTTGACCCTTCCAGTACAGTTTGGCTTTCTTGTATCAGATCAGCAAAGCTTTTGGCTCTTAGAAAGATGTTTCATATAGACACCTTAATTACAAAAATGTATTTACTTGGGAGTAATTTGTTATATGAACAAGTACATAGCATACTCTGTAGCACACATACCAGAACAGATTTGGGTGACTGGACAGAAAGGTCTTAACACCTCTTTAAAGTAAAGCTCAGCTCAGAAAGTCACTCATAAATTAAGAAGTGTCAGAATGAAAGCTTTCCATGGATTTCAACATGACCTTCATTTATATGCATCATACCAGGTTACATTACTATTTAAGGGTTTGTATACTTAACTTCTTCATACATTATAAAAAGTACTGACCAAACAACTACTTAATATTTTATTTTATTCTTTGTTTTCAACATGTAACTCCAAAATTCCTGACCACTTAACACACAAACCAATAATAAACACATGATTTCATATTTTCTTCTTTTTCTAGTCACATGTAACACTTGAGTGTTTCACAGAAAGTGGTGAAGGTACCTATATAACGTCAGGGCAGTTAAGGCCTACTGGTGCAGTCAGTACTGTTACACTAAGTTCTTTTCATTTTTATGAAACAGTGTATAATGATGCAGTCTTTTCAGTCACATGCTGATGTTATAATGCCAGATGAGAACTATGAGGGTTAACAGGTGTTTTAGGTAGTCCTGTGAGGAGTCTGACTCAATAATCCTTATGGGTCCCTTCTAACTTGATGTATTCTATGATTCTATAGAAAGTCCATTTGAGGAAAGGAGATGTATTTATTTTTCTACCAGGAAAGCTAGTACCTATTGTCATAATTGTTAAAATGGAAAATCAGCTGTAGATGTGGAGACTGAACTTTAGGTGTCTCATGCTAAGCACCCAGAAGATGGATGGGGGGGGAAGTTTTTCTTAGAAAAATTTTACCTGACCTGGTCAGCATCATATGAGAGCAGAGGGGAGAGAACTAAACCTGTTAGCTAAACTGACCTGGTTTGAATGAGGTTTAGAAGCCTCCAAAGTTCTTAAACCTTTCATTAAAATTGGCAGTGGAATGGAGAAGACAGGCCCAGAGGAGCGTCCTTATGAGGACAAGGCTGGCACAGGTCCACAATTGTCTATTTGTCAGCTGCCTAGCCAGTGAGCACATGCTCAGCTCTAACTACCCACCACATGTCAGTTGCTTCCTGGGGAGGGACATGGATTGGGGAAGGAGCTCTGGGGGTGGGGGAATGAGTTTGGAAATTAGCCAAAAGATGCCAGGCTGCTTGTCAATACTGCACCAATTCCTCTGCTTACCGAACAGCTTGGTTCTTTGTTCAGTCCAGAGCTCTTTTTTTCCTTGCATCTGCCTATTCTGCCATAAATTAGGCAGGGAATGTTGTGGCAGATTGACCCCATCATTTTCCTTCCTTCTCAGAAGTGATCATCCTGTGTACTTAATCAGATGGTTTCTCTGGAGAAAAAAAAAACAGAAAGCATTATCTAATTTAAGATGCATTGTAACACACAAGCCTACACAATAGCAGCAAGGAAGGGAGTCGAAGTACCACAGGCAATCTTAATTCCTGTATTTCTAACAATTCCTTTCAAGTGGTCAAGTTTCCAAAGTGTTCCTCAGCTTAAAGATGTTACATAGTTATTTTAAAAAGACAAAAAGTACAATTATGGGAAAAGAGAATTCAATTTATGAAATTCTATTGCCCTTATACAGTGCCTTGTCTCTGGATTTTTGTTGTTAATTCTACTGGTCATTGCATTAGTTCTGGTAACATGTAACCCTCACAGACATCACAGAGAAACTGAACCCTCAATCCAGTGGTTTTTGCAATTGGCTTTCAATTTCAGAGAGACACAGGCATGAGGATTTTGACTTCTGTGCTATGTCAGAGAAACAGGTCTATCTAGGTCAGAACAGACATGTCTAGACTTACAGACTGTTTCTGTTGGATTAGTGGAATACCTAAATGAAGGGTGCCAGTGATATTTTCATTATATGCTCCTTCAGGCTTCCAATTTATGTAGCCCAGAGAGTTCTTGTACCACAGGTTGTCATTGGCTCATTATCAACTTTGCTTATAATAATTGTGCCAACCATACATTTAAATCTGTGTAGATTTTGACAAGCAAGCCTATGATTAAGAGATTCTAGGCAAGGTATTGTGGAGTTTTATCTATTGAGTGGAGTCCCTTCTTTGATTTTCCCCCCCTCAAGTGCAGTAGAAACAGATCTATAAAGCAAAACAGTTGATCACGAGGACCCATCATCCACAGAGTGATGAACACTTTAGATGTTCTGTTGCAGAGTAGATCTGGTCTGGCTTCATGTCATGCAAGCATCTGTGAGATCTTCAAATACATTTTTGGTTTACTTTAATTAATCCAGTTCTATTCACTTTAAGATCAGATATGAACAAAGGTTTATAAACATGATGTCTAAAAGTTGAAATTGAAGAGCCCATGTGTGAAGCAAACTAAAACACTGATGTAGGCACATCAGCTGAAGTAGTTGATTGCTGTCTTAAATAGGAGGCCTTCACTCATTTTGTCCTGCTGAGGAATTTGGCCCAAGAACTCAGCAGAACTGTAATCCAGCAAAGGAAAGGAATTTTAATTCACTGGACAGGTAGTCTGTTAAGTATAAGGAAGGACTCAATAAATGAGATAACCCTTAACCAGAGGAAACTGAATGAATGATGGTTGGCATAAAATTTCCCATCATGTGATACAAGATTTCCAAATTTATAAGCAGGGTAAGGTAGTATCTGGTAAGGTAGTTTTCATGGTTGAATAAATTATGGACTTTCATCTATAAATCAATTTTTATATATAATGGAAGAACTGCATAAAGTTCTGAATGTCTTCAAAATTACTGTTTGTAAAATGTGTTTGTCTCTTCATAAAATTAAGAATAAGAACAAATATTTCAGTTATCAAGGAAAAACACAAAGTAATATCTCATTAATGAAGTGTATTTCATTAATGCAGAAGAAAATGTAAAATTGTTGTTTACAGATGTACTGCCGAAAATCAACTCTTATACCTTGCAAACTGTAAATGTAATAAACTGTGATGATACTGTCACAGAGTCATCTAAACAGATATTGTGACTTTTGCATATCTAAGACAAGAGATTACTTTGAGATGTGTATGAAAAATGGTGTTGGTGATGTGAGTCCTTAATTAGATCCATCAGTTGTAACTCTTCAATTTTAGTGTTTTGCTACTTTTTCCTTTGAATATTTTTTATCATCGTTACTCATAAGATTTTATTCTAAAATGTTACTCATTATTATATAATAGTACCAACTTGATGCATGCAATAACTTTCAATGTAATGCATTTTCCCATACTTACCATCTTACACATGTGAATTTAAAAGTATAATGTATTATGTTTCTTTTTAGTACACCTCCTGATAATCTCTCAATTCAAGAATTTCAGAAGAATGAGAGTATTGATGTTGAGGTAAGGAGAATACAGCAAATACAATGTCAAACATAACAAGACAGTGGCATTCACAGATTGCATTTGGTTCTGAAACACTTTTTGAAAAGTTACCCACTTGTTATTTTTTATGTGATACTGTTTTCTTTTTTGAAAACAAGACAGGAAACTCAAAAGCTCAGAATTCTTCTGCTTCTGAGTTATGCAAAAAGTAGGCATCAGCATGCCAAAAACTACTTCTTGTCCACTGAGGTTCAAAACTGCATAGAGTGGCTAAACTAGAATGTGTTTCTGCCTCTGACCCGTTATCTGATTCTTACTTACTATGTTATTGCCAGGCAATTACACAGGTAATTGTAAGTCATGGCAGAAGCTGACAATTAAACCTAAAGTGGGTGCTTTTTGTGTTGAGGGGGGGCATTCAGTCAGCAATTATATTATTGCCCTCCAGGTGTGCTGTCAGTATTGAAAAGCTTCTGCATCAATGATGAAACGATATCTTGCTTGTGCAGCACAGAGACCACTGAAATGGTGAAAGAGATTGTTTGGTTGGATAAGGCTATGATACTTGGAATAAAGAGGGACTGGTCATCTTTCACTCCAGGACAGAGATGTAGCAGGGCAAGGATTCAGGATACAAAGGAAAAGGAGTTGCAGAAAAGACTTGGCAATATTTGTTGGTCTGACTGCCTGTCATCTCTCCAGCATGGCAGCTGAGACACAAAGATATCTGGGTGCAAAGCAGGAGCAGTTCTGTCTGTAGTGAGCAGAACTCTGAGGTCTAATGCATTTATGGAGATCTAAACCCACTTTGTTCCTGAATAGGAGCATCAAGACTGTGGATAAAAAGCATTCCAGTTAATGTGCGTTGCCTTAAGCTCGTTCAGATAACTAACTCGCTTGTTCTGCTTTGCAGATGTCACATTGTAAGCGTGTGATATGTGTGTTAATGTCATAGTGAGGCTGTTGAATCGAGTGGTGGGAGAGGGAGATTCCTAACGTTAGATCTTCTCTTTCCAAACCCATACATTCAAGTTTAATAATATACTTCAAATGTCAGTGGAAATCTGAGTGGTAATTGCTTCAGAAACTCTGTCCAAAGTGGGGGGGGAAAAGTTTGCTGTTTCAATGTAATGCTACACACAAGACCACAATTTTTTAATGTATTTTCAAATTTTAAAAGCTATCATTGGAAGATTTTGTGACTTTTAATTAGGCATCTATTTTTTTCTTTAATAATTCTGTCTTAATACTAAAATTACAACTTTAATATTCAGAAAGCCAATATAAATATATATAATTTATTTTAGGTGGTGCAGCTTATCAGCACAGAGATACTGCCATATGCTAATTTTATTCCTAAGGAATTTGTTGGTCAGATAATGACTATGCTCAATAAAGGCTCAATACATTCTCAGTCATCTTCCTTTACAGGTATGGTACCCAAATGACAAAATATATAGTGTTTAAATCTACTAGAAAGCAATAAAAATATTGAGAGTACTTGCTCTAATAAAAGACTTTACTTGCATGGCATGTGTTCAGTATAGACTGTTTGATATCCAGCTTGTTTTTATAAACTATATTTTATTTCATGAAGGTTGCAAAGCATTCCTTTCCTTGCACTTTTTTCAAAAATATTTCCTTACTTCTTGGTCACTATCATACATAATATTGTACTTGTGGTACTTTATACTTTCTACATAGTTTGTTTTGCATTGTGCCAGTGAACAGTTCTAACAATTTCAGACAATTATAAGAGAGACACAATCCTGTTCTTAAAAACTAAATTACCTTAGTGTAACTAGCTGGTGTACCTAACCAGATTCCTCAGCCTTTCAGAAAAAAAAAAATAAAATCCATAGGTTTTTTTGAAAGATGAAAAAAATGGCCATTACTGAGAAAAATATTTCATTTGTACAGTACCAAATATTAGTACTTATGGTGTAGAACTGGGGTTGCTGGGGTTTTATTGATTGATTTAATGTATTTTATTATTAAAGCAATGTCAAGTAGGTGACACATTTACTGGACGTGTTGCATTTTGTTTTTTGAACTATGATTATTGCACAGACCCCCTTTTTCAGATGTTATTGTTAATATTTGTTCTTATCACCGCTAATCTTTTTTAATACTAGAGGAGCAATACTCCTTTTGCAAACTGTAATAAACTGATTGAAATGCATCATTTAGTGTATTGGCAGGCACACTGCCCAATTAAATATGACATTTTACTTTGACAGAAGCCGAAATAGATATTCGAATGAGAGAGGAGTTTTCTAAGGTGTGTTTTGAAACATTGCTCCAGTTCTCGTTCAGTAATAAAGTCACAACTCCTCAGGAAGGCTACATTTCTAGAATGGCACTTTCTGTGCTCTTGAAAAGGTCTCAGGATGTTTTGCATCGCTACATAGAAGATGAGAGATTGAGTGGCAAATGCCCCCTTCCACGGTATGTACATTGTCTTCAGGAAATTAAAGGTATTGCCAGTCTTTTATGAGAAGAACTTTGCATTCAACGTATCACTCGTTCATTAAAAAAATACTTTGTGTGTGAAATTTAAAGCCAGGGATATGTTTGTGGGGAAGACATTTCAAAGAAAAGCTTTATGCCATTTTTCTTTTGTTGAAAGAGCTTTAAATAATATTAGCTGTCACATTCAGTGCTGTTACATAAACAGGAATGTGACTTAACATTTTCAGTTACTGAAACAGTATTTCTGATATCTATAAGATAATATTTTTGATATCTGATTTCCCTTTATTCCCATTTGAGCCATTTATAGTTTCTAAATTGAGATGGAGTCTCCTCAAAAATAAGACAAAATATCCAAACAGCATTGTGAATTATTATTCAAGTAATTGTTCTTGAAACAGAAAAATTTACCAAAGTACTGTGAATTTTTTTTCAAATGGGAACTTACTAAATTTCACTTCACTTTTGAAGTTTTTGATCATGATTGCTGATATTATTTTCATGTACATGAGTATTTTCAGATTGAAATGTGTATGCTGTGTTATTGTTTGCAGTATCAAATTTAAAGCTATCTTAGCTGAGACAACAGCAATGATGGTGGGAAAGTAAGATCAAGTTATAACCTTAATCTCTAAATATCCCTGCTTGGGTAGGCTTCATTGCAGCTGTTTCCATTATGTGTTTTTTTTATGTTTAAGTTTCGTAGGCTACTTATATTCTTGAGACAAAAATGAGAAGTTGACTGTTTGCATTTTTTTCTTTGTAGGCAACAAGTAACAGAAATAATATTTGTTTTAAAAGCTGTCAGTACTCTCATAGATTCACTTAAAAAAACTCAACCTGAGAATGGTAAGTCATTGTTAAACAACGTGGTTCTAAACAAGATAACATTATATCTGCCACCAAGACATTTATTTTTTCCTGTAGTAATTTTCACACAAATTTGAAAGAAAAGTGTAATCTGTGAGATTCAGTATTTTGTAATTCTGTATATATGTAGGTGGCAGGTAGACAAAAAAAAAACACCAAAACACCCAAAAATCTTTTCAGTATACCTAAAAGTAGAGAGTCTTAAGATACATTTAATAAAATAGAAAATTTTGATCTATGGTGTCTTTTATTAGATAGACCTTGGTGTCTTCTAGAAACAAATAAACAAAAAACCTTAATAAAATTCTTCCTTTTTTCTTCTTGTGGTACCTTTATGGGCTGCTATGGATCACGTTCACATAGGTGCACTCTGCAGTTCACAGGGAGTACAAGTTAAATGCATGGCAGGCTGTCAGATGCATCAACTTGTGGTCTTGCTTTCCCTCCCTTTCTGCTCAAGTACCACCTGCCTTAGCTCACTGTTGCCCAAGTAAATGCTTGAAAGATACATAAAGCCTTTTGGCAAGCCCTGAAGGCCCTTTCTCTTAGAGTGGTAGAGCAGCCAACACAGCTGGACTGTTCCCCACATCTTTTTCCTCTCAATGAGAGAATTTCACCTGGTCTGTATTTGGCAGTGATTGACAGACTTCCTGCATACTTTCTTATGAAAAGAACCACTAGACAAATTAGAGAATCACTTTACTCCCGCTTCTAGCTTTTAATAATAATTTTTAGGTTTGTTCTCGTTTCAAAACAGCTAAAATTGAGATAAAGAAGGAAGTGACTCAGTAAATAAGATTAACGCTACGATTTTTATATTTAACTTGTTGGACTAATAAGCTTTACCATGGATATTTTAGTGTCTTGGTCTGGTGTTTCACCCTCTCCTCTCTGTAGCTCTGGTAACATGGAATGATTTGAAATTAATGGAAGGCCTCATTGCTGACAACTTTCCAAAAGTGAAATGTGTGTCCAATTCAATTTTCTGTCAGTAGCTGAGAAAGGCAGGCAGGAAATGTGTGTATATTACAGATTTAATAAAAATAGTATCTTCAGTTTGTCAGGTCTTCCTCCAGAAAACACAGGGAATGGCTTACATGTAGGAACACAGGTGTGTAGCACTGTTTTATGGATATCCCATCTGGCTTCCAGCTGCTGCTGCTGCTGCTGCAAAAAAAGAGTATGTCTCTTCTGCAAAAAGCCTACATGATATCAGAGAACCCTGTAGAGATGTTGTAGTGTCTGTGTATTCAAGGAATTTATTATAAGAAGTTGAGACATCAGTAAGTGATTCCATGTGTTCTTTTCTTCATTGCAGTTGATGCTAACACATGGGCACAAGTTATTGCCTTGTACCCAACTTTAGTAGAATGTATCACCTGCTCATCCTCAGAAGTGTGCTCTGCTCTGAAAGAAGCACTGGTTCCTTTTAAGGACTTCATGCATCCACCAGCATCCAAGGTACAGAATGGAGAGTCTTGACCCCATAACACTTTGTCTTTTTTTTTTTTAATTTTTGAAGGAAAAAAAAAAAAGGTATCCAAAAACATTTGGTGTGAAGTTGTCTTGACCCCATAACACTTTGTCTTTTTTTTTTTTAATTTTTGAAGGAAAAAAAAAAAAAGGTATCCAAAAACATTTGTTCTCGAGTGAAGTTTCTCTGAGGAAATCTCTTGTGATTAGTACTTTGGCAACCAGAGCTGACTGCCTTTTAACTGTACTAACAAGAGCTCAGTAATTCATGAATACAGGTGGTATCTCAAAGGTTCCAGAGCGAGTAGCAGTGCAAACCTTTAATAAATTTAACAGAATAGTTGGAATCATTTATAATCTAATGTACTTGCTACAGTATCTTGAAGTGGTGATTGAAAAGTGGGCTTATGTACAGCTTGTTGTGTATGTGTTAATGATGTAATTAAAAATATTTCAATTCAGTCAGATTTATTAGGCTGGTGTTTTGCACCCTGTTTTTTGAAGTACGAATTGTACTAAAATTTTATGCAAGATGGTACTGTAACATTCCATATATCTGTAACCAGCCTTTGTAAACAAAGGGAACTGATATACTTGTCTGTATAATAAATGGTACAGTTCTGTATAAAATAGTTGCATTTATTATTTAAATTCTTTTTAAAATACTGATAATGTTAAATGCTTGAAAAAGTATTTATTATTAATAAGTTGTATGCTTGCATTTTTTCTTACGGTTTGCCTTCTGAATTGCCGGATATGCTCATTCATATCTGATCATGTTGTTACTTTTTGCTTAATTGAATGTATCTTGTCTGTGGCCACTGGACATCTAAGAAAGGGTCATATGACAAAAGAATGCACCAAGCAGTCAATAGTCTGCTGTTCTCAAACTTCAAAGTAGTTGACCTGAAATAAGTTTGAATATGCAGAAATCCACTGTAGCACTTCAATACTACCATACCTCACATCACAATATATTTGTTTCAAGATGTTTGTTCTACTCAACTCTATCCATTTTTATAGTTGCAGCCTTGCTTTAAAAAAAAACCCACAAAAAAAACAAACAAAAAAACCCCATATTTGAGGATTGTTAGCCTTTTTTACCTTCTTGGCAGGTATGACAATCTTTGAGTCTTGACCCAAGAAAGGTGATTTCAAATATCTGAAATACTTATTTTGGTCAATAATTTTAAGTGCTCTGTTTTGTAATGTCTTTTCAATCCAAACAAATTGTTCTGATATTTTAATTATAAACTGTGTCTGATATAAAACCATGAGAAGTGTTTTTTTGAAGGTAGTTACTCAGAAGTGCAGTAGAAGTTGTCATTAAGTAAATGTGAATCGGTATTGCTTGCACCTAATACACAATTGAAACAAAACACTTTTAATAGTATATTGTTTTTAAAGTTGCTGAGTCAATACTGAAACTCTTACTATTAAATCATTATTACTTCAATAATGTTTCACCTATATTCACATATTTTTAACCTGTGATGTGAAAGCACAAAGTCCAGGTGTAAAAAAAAAAAAAAAAAGAGAGAGGTGCCTTTCTACAGAATTCAGAATTTCAGAGCTTACCTTTAGGTTTTTGTTCCTTGAAGTCTTTTGTAGGTATTAAAAGATATCATCGTGCATAAGAAATGGTATTCTATCTGTTTGCTTTCCACTTTCCTGGCTAAAAGGACATTGGTGCATATGAACAGATGTAGAAGTTGTAGGAGCTTCACGTTGAAGGTGTGATTAACTCATCAGGGTTAGAAATGCCCTGCGTGAATAACGGGATACAAGTGCAGCTTTGAACAATTGGCTCCCATGAGGGTCCAGTTTATGGTCTTTTTTAAAAGCTTTCTGTTTCAAAGTGAATACTAAAGAGGCTTCAAGGTCTTGCACATTTCCCTGTGACCAAAGTGCACGGAACTTAATCATCAAGCGTGGATAGTTTTTAGTGGACACACCGTTTACATAAAGAAAACAAATGCTTCCCATTAATAGAATTTATGTCAAAATAGCTTCTTTGGATGAGCAGTTCCAGTATAATGCAGAACTGGGTCCCACATACAGATAACATTATCTGGACTCTGAAAGTGAAAACCTAGCAGCTGCTCTCCTTATTAATGGAAGATAACTCAAGGTCTCTGAGGTCATTAAAGAAACAAAGTGTAGGACAGGAAAGAAAGGTTTTAGAATGTATTATCTTAACCAGAATTTCTGAAAATAGGTGTGCAGACCAAACTGGGTTAGTTTGTTTCTAATTAGCATCTAATTGGCTTTTCAGTGATAAGACAGAAGCATTCTATCCAATGAAGCAAATCTTCAGCTTTATCTGTATTTTAAAAAGCAGGTATTTAAGTCTTTCCCAACTCTATAGAGCTTGGAATACTTTACCACCTATGGACATTAACCTTCACAAAGTTCTGAAATAAACTACCAAGGAGCTACCTTTCCTTCTTTCCCTCTTAATTACAAAATTGATACTATCTGTGCTATTTGAGGCATGATTTGGACATGCAAGCTGAAGTTAACCATATTCAAACTACTTTCTTGTATTTTGTATAGTTTGAAAACTAGAAGTTTAGAAAAGAGGTTTTTCATTTACTAATTTTGTCTGTGAATAAGAATTATTCCCCTTACTGTGCCTTCTTGTCCAGCACTCAAATATTTATTCCAACTTGAAATATCAGTTTCTTATTTCTATTTATGCTTTCTGCTAAATATTCTTAGGGCTTCTTTGATGCTATTTCAATTTCACAGTCTTACATTCTAGCAAAGTAAATCTTGTTCCTGAATAAATTTCATTTAACATTACCTATTGAGTAGACCCATGCCCAAGTTCTTTTCAAGTCAGTAGGGTTGCTTGGTCATGAGAAGTAAAACACATGGACATTTTCATTGTGCCCCTGAAATCAGCTAGAAAAGGGGCACAGCTGTCTGTGTACAAACACATCAGCTAGAAGTCAGAATGTAAGCATTCATTGCATATTGAATGTAACCACTATTTTCACCTTTTCTCTTCTCTCCAACTTTAAAAGAGACATGGATTGAAAGTGCAAAGAGAAAATGTGAGGGCCTTACAGAGTCGAAGGTTCATAACAAGATTTTTAATTACTTGGGAGAACTTGTATGTTTCAGTGCTGTGACCATTGCCTTAATGTACACAAGCATTTAACATTACATAGTAACTTTGATTAAGAAAAAGGAACATGTGCCTCAAGCTGGGAACTTCTTATAAACTGTCATATTTTTAGAATTAAGCTACAGTATTTATTTGCTTACCGTCAGAGATGCTTATCTAACTGGACATCTGTTTTGTTCCTTTATACATACGCCCGCCCTCTGTTTTATTGGTTAACTGTGGAATGCTACTGGACGACAAGCCACATGAAATATATGGTCACTGTTAGTTATTTACAAGAGCAAGTAGGAGTATGTCTGTGAAACTTTAGTAGTTTGTTGTTGAATTCTGCAGATGTTTGTTGTTTCGTTTTTTTACCCAGGTTGAGTTGTTTCTTATTCCCAGTCTTCTCATAGCTGGCCCTGAACTCTTCAGGCAAGGTATTTTTAGTGAGGTTAATGCCTTTCCTCAGCAAACACAAGTGCTAGTCATCAATGTATTGTAGAGAAATTAATTTAAAACTTTAGGATACCACTGTTCTTGGGGGGGGGAGAAAAAAGTGTACCTGTTTCTGCATGGCTCAGTTCTGTGTCTTTTGCTAGTTTTTAACCTGAAAATTGCAGCTTGCTACTAATTTCCTATGTGGACAGGCATCTTACACAACATTTTCTAAATTATTGTTAACAGAAATGCCCCTAGTTTCCAGGGATGTGGAAATTTCAGAAAATAAAAAATACTAATGTGTATTTTTTTGGTCCTTCTGTTCTGATCTTTCCATCTGTCATTGCTCTCCATGTTACATTTCAAGGGGTTAATGGAGTATCACAAAACATTTATCATCTTGTGTCCGTGTGCACAGGATGTGTATAGTGTTGTGAAGGAGTCAGCTATGAAAATGTGAGTTGTGTGGTACCAACAAGTAACATTTTTTTTCCCCCTTTAGCTTAGTGAAGTGAGATGGTGTTGCTTTAAGAATTATCAGAAATGTCCTCCTGCTTTATCAAGAAAATATTTTATTATAATCTATGGTGCTCGTTACAAGCCCCACCTGGTACATTTTCTCGTAATGATTAGTGTTTGCACATGCATGTGAGATGCAGAATTTTCATCTCTAGCGTCTTTAGGTAAAAATGCTTAGGTAGTGATGTTTGAGAACTTACTGATTCCTGCAGCTGTCTATTACAAGGCTAACAGGATATGGACAATTTTTCTTGGCTGCAGGTTTTGACTTAATGTAGTGACTAAGTCTGTGCAGTATTTAGTTTACCAGAAGTCTCAGGAGCGAGGTCCTCAAACAGAGAGCTTTGGTAGGATTTATGCACTACCACACAAACATGCTTCCTAAATAAGAAACCTTTCCTCACATGAAGGTTGCATCATATTTTAAGAACTCTTCAAATGTAAATCTTGTTTCATAGCTGAGTTGTAGTGTTCAGATTTATGTAATCTTCAAAGTGTCTGACTGCTGTCTAATTTAGGACACACAATGTTACACTCTAGGAACCAGTTGCTGGGATCAAGAATGACTACATCAGCAGCGAGTGAGGAAAAATTTGGTGGTTTAAGACAACTTGTATAAGAAAGATAGTGAAACTAAATATTCATGATTCCTAGGGTGGAGGGAGAACATGAAAAAAAAAATCAGTGGACTTCAAGAAGGCAGACTTAAGAAAATCAATAGGTAAGATCTCACAGAAGACAAGTCTGAGGTAAGAGAAGAACTGAGGAGATAAGACAGTTCCTCAGAAATGCAAAGATCATGACTGAAAGTATATCCAAGTGCATGTGACAGAGACTAGCTGTAATGAGAGACCAACTCAGTCAAATGAGGAATTTAATTGACTCCAAACAGGAGGAGGGAGGCCTACAGAAGGTGAAATTCAGATACCACCAAACAACATTGTTCACAGATAAGGATAAAAGTAGATGAGCTACAACTGTCAACTAACAGAGAATAAATACGTAAGT